CAATATTTTTAAAGAGTACAGGTATCGAGTACAAGGTCGTATCGGAACAACACTAGCTGTACTAAATTTTTGTATAGATTTCCAATTCGTTTTAATCGTGTGCCACATGATTATGAAGAATTTCTGGAAGGTATGGTTTGTCCGAAAAAAAAAATCGAAAAATTGAAAGTGTAGTTGGATAAATATCGTGAAATTGAATGGACCAATTAGTCCAATATTTTGGCGGATGAAAGACAAAATGTGTAGCTATCGATTGGCATCTATAAACTTTGTCCAGGCGAAATTCAATTTTTTTGGTCTTGGTTGACACTTTTCAGGAAATACCCATATAAATACGTGTATGTAAGTCAAAGCTGTAAAAAATATCTTTCATTTGATATTCATATTTCAACAAGTGAATTACTTTTATGTCGCAAACTTAATCAGACAAAATTCTTTAAAATACCCTATTTTCCAAACACAAACCTTCGTACAAGTCGTTAGAGCAGTCGAAGCTATAACATAATAAGGGTATTCAAAGTCTGGTGCATATGGTCTGTGCATGTGCATATTTCGGTGCATTTCCAAATTTTATTGTTGCAAACGTGCACAATAAACAATAAAATTTCCAAGTTAACCAGAATGCAAGATCATATGCAACGGAGTGTGATTACCCTTAATAATATACGGCTTATACATATATAGCCATTCAAAATGTATAGTACAGATGCATGAAAATTTGGCTAACTAACTTCTGACAAACCTATAGTTGTATAAACCAGAGGACGGAGGAGGGTTTGTTTTTTCTTTATGATGATACAATAGCGAGGATGGTTCCATGCGCAGAAGTGGAACATTTTTGACTGCCATTCACCTGAGAGTGGCCACAACGTCCGGATATTTATATCCACGTATCCTCTGGGTAGCAACCAAACACTCGTTTGGGAGCGAGCTAAAGTGAGAAGGCGTAAAACTTCGCGTGCGCTGGGTTTGGGTCCCGCCACGTTAAAACCCCGCCCAATGAAAAAGAAAAAACAGCCTCGGATGAGACCCCCCTTTTTCTGATGACGACCACGGCAAACGTATAAAGGACTATGATTTAGGGGTATGCACCTGGAATATCCGGACCCTTAATGGGGAAGGTGCCTCTGCCCGGCCGGTTGATGTCCTCGGGAAGACAAAAGCTGACATCACCGTCATCCAAGAAATGCGATGGACGGGGTAAGGAAAAGTAAACGTGAAGACTTGCGACGTCTACTATAGTTGCCACGTAAAGCGCAAATTTGGTGTTGGCCATGTCGTTCGAATGGACAGAAACGGTCCTGCTCTGAAAAAATTCAACGCGGGCCGCGATGCTGGTAACAGAGATGCTGGTAAGAAAGACCAGGTGGAGAAGGACTTGGCTTCACTTGGTATTTCCAATTGGCGTCAGTTAGCACAGAAGAGAAATGTCTGGCGTGCTGTTTTGGACTCGGCCAAAATCGCTTGGGTGGTTACAGCGCCTATAAAGAAGAAGAAGAAGATACAATAGCGATATTTTCAAAACTGGCAATCACTTGGCTTTTTTAAATCTTCGGGGAAAAATGTTTCTTAGTAAATAAAATCTGCTTTTTTAAACGAAATGTAACTCAAAGTAAATAATAAAAGCAAATAAGGGTATCTGAAAGTAAACGAGATTATAAACTTCAGGAATTGCACGTTTGATTAAAATTCTTCATTTTTTTTTTATTTTTTATGAATAATTTTCTTACTTTGGTAAGGTCATACGTCGATACGATACGATGTTTTCCTGACATTTTTCTGGTTTTATTATGACTCACATAAATATGAGAACTTTGATTTTATTCGCATTAAAGTTGAGTTCTGAACCATAGTGCGTTCGTTCGAATTTCAAAAAAAGATTTCAAATTAAACGGCTTGATCTGTAGATGTGGAGGTTTATTTTTTTGAAGTTAGAACTTTTTCAGCAGCGGCACAGGTGATTTGAAATTCTGTCAAATTAAAACCGACACAATGTGAGACCTCTTTTCACTCAAAAATGGCTGAACGGATTTTGAATGAAATTTGTTTTTAGAATTTTGAATAAGGTGGCCACGTGTTTAAAAAGTTAAATTCAAATTTGGAATCTTAACGCCATGCGAGCTCACTAGTAATCATTATTATTAGGTAATAAATATACGTTCCCTGCTTATAATCGTTCGGGACCTCTGAGAGCCAAACAAGTTGGTTAAGGAAACCCCTTCAATTCTTACTCACAAACATACATGCATAAATAATGTATGTAGCAGCATACAAACTATTGTGGGTGTGTGCTTGGAAGTGGTAGACAGAAGCACAGTCGGTGGGGAACCATAACACCGATAGCGAAGGGGAAACAATAAAGCACAGGAGCATTAAAAATAAATAAATAATAAAAATATAAAAATAATAATAAAAAAAAAACATACAAAAAATGGGCAATCGTAAAGACAAATAACATCCGAAACAACAACAACCCTTGCAAATAAAGGCAGTAAACAACAATAAAAACAATTAAAAATGACAAGAAGTCTGCAAGTATGTGGGCGTATATAACCTACTAACACACACACACACACGTACACACACACATACATACGCTGATGACACATACGAACGTGCACTTACGAGTTAGGCAAAATCACCTTGGACAACACACATACATCCATACCCATCCATACTAAAATGTGTGCAAATATGTGGGTGTGGATAGAAGTGTGCTTTCGAAAAGCTTAAACGCTAGCGAAGCTTTTGTATTTAGTTATTGCCATGTTCCCATTCATGTCGTTCCATTTCATTCACTTTCGGGCCATTTCGCGCGTTCCAGCTGCTTTGTTGTGTCGCAGGACAATGCACGATGATATGGGCGCGCGCTTTTCGCTACGCCTGTGTGAATTCGAATAGGATGTAAATCGGATGGTGGGGGGGGTGTGAGGCGGAAGGATTGCGAGGCTGTTAAACAGCGAAAGGACATCCTAGTCACGAAAGGCATGCAGAAAACACGTCTGTCGTGTAGCGACGACAACAACAATCATAACATTACCGTAATGGAGGTAGGCTAACACACACACACACACACACACACACACATTTAGCGTGCGAAAGTACATGTACATGCATGTACATACATAAGTATGCATGTGACGGTGTCGGGGCGGAGAACATGGAGATTTGGCTGTCATCAGATGTTTTCGGGTCGTTGCCGCCATTACAGAGAGGACACTGAAGGACGAGCACACATCATCGTCCGTCGTGAAGGTGGATCAGCTAGCGCGCACGGGGTTTGTAACTAGTGGTATTTGACAAACGGATGGGCCGAACGAATGGATGAATGGGCAGCCAGGCGGCTGAGAGGCGGCCCGAAAGTCTGTGCCTGTCGTTATGCAAGCATTCTGCTTAAATATTTATGTTTGTTGTCAGTAGCATTTCGCTTATTTGTTTGTTTGTTTGCTTGTTGTTTGTCCAATTCACTGGACACATGCATCCACTGACTGACGAACTGCTTAGCAGATAAAGGGATAAACAGATAAAGGGAGGTTGTAGTTGACAGGAAGACCGCGGTTATACCGATGTTTATAAACTGAAAACAAAAGCACCGAAGCATAACAATAGTGCAGGCAACAAAGACATGCGAGCGCTGAAGCATGCGAGGATAGTAAGGCTGTTTGTTGGCTGCTGGTTGCTGGCTGACTCGGCGTCATGGCCAAAATAATTGTTTGTGGCTGCAGGTTTTGATTAACACATTACTAGCCAGCCAGTCAGCAGGTGGGGTCTGAGAAATGCACTCGAGTCGTATGTATATGTGTGCTGATAATGTATGTACATATGTATGTATTTAAAAATATGTTAAGTATCACTGGCAAGTGGAAATTTTGCTAAGCAGCACAGCAGTGATAGTATGTTTGAGAGAAAGAGATTGGGAGCGACCAGGGACCAGGGTGAGAGGTCAGACAAAGTGGGGGATTTGAAGGTGCGTGGTTCAGCGGGTGACTACAACTACCAGTGTTGCCGGATTGGTTTTCTAAAAGCTGTAAATTTCCAAAAACGAACTATAATATACAAAAATGAAGGGACTTCTTAAAAAGTAAGATTTTTTAATTTTACTGAACACTAGCACGTGGGGTATTTGCTAGTTGAAGATATTTTTTAATATTTAGCTTATCTCTTTAACCTCCAAAAACGGGTGCTTATCTTACAGGAATAAAAAATAAGTATGCTGCTTAGTTGTTTTTCTCAAATGCTTCATAAAAAAAACTATCTATATTAAAATCGGTTCAGTATTTTGAGTGCCGAACCTGGACAAACATTTTCCATATAATCCATTTTATAGTTAAATAACAAAGAAAAGATTATTTAAAATAAAATAACATAAGCCGTTTAAATTATACTTAACTAAACCAAAATAGACTTTGGAAAATGGAATATTTAAATCACATTTTGTTCTAATGCACTTTAGTTTCCTTATTTTTCGCAAATGTTAATTTTTTAATTTTTGTCAGCTTTTGATTCTACACCTCAAATTTAATACCTCTTGGATAATTTTTTTTTAGAATAGTGTTGGAATTTCTAGTTCATTTCTTGTTTTATTCAAATTGATTAGGAGAAATATTCTTTCCACATTTGCTGTGACGACTGGAATGTAAACGACAGCTTAAATAATTTGTAATTAGGAAAAGTTTACTTACGAAAACCGCAAGAGAAACTTTAATTTATTCCTTCATATCGGAAATTTCGAAAAAAAACTGTAATTTTTATTAGGAGGTTATTTAAACAACCGTTAGCTTGTCTAAAAAACTGAAATTTACAGTTAAAACTGGGAATCTGGCAACGTTGATACCTACACACAAGCTCTTAACCGACAGTGGAATATTTGTCGTCACTTTGACACAGCGCTCGGCACTTTTCAAGCATTCGGCTTTGCTCCAGCAGCAGGACGAATGAGAGTGCTCACTAATATCTGCTTTGTTTGCGTTCGCAGATTGCTTGGATGGCTTGGACATTTGACTCTGCCAGTTGAGTTTCGACCGTATGAGTACACTGTGGTGCGTTTAAAGTTGCGGCGAATACGAACTGAACAGAATCGCGCGTCTGTTTGTCTGTTTGTCTGTCTGTCTGGCCGCCTGCCTGTCTGACTGAATGTCTAGCTTTGCTGTCGAAAATTTTCGTCTTTTGCCTCTCGCCTCTGACTAAATAGGTGACGCGGTAGTTTGCGTGGCAACTTGAAATTTGTACGTGAGTGGAAAATTTCTAACAACAAACATATTTGTACCAACATCGTAGTCGGTAAGGAACAACAGCGATAACAGCAGTAGTAATAAAAACAAATAACTTAAACTACCAAACACAAACATTTGAAATCGAAATCGTGAAAAATATCAAAATCAAATGACTCATGCAAAATAATTGCCGAAAAACTGAAACAAAAAAAGCAAAGAATATTTTTGTAATTAAACAGTTTTCTATTGACTCGCACGTCCACCATTTTTGTACATAGCCGTCAAATCAGCGCCCGTTTACCTGCCTCCACACTGAATAATCGAGAGACCGAGCCCAACCAAAATATTGCCACTAAACAGTTTTTACCAGCAGCAACTACGACGCTATTGTCTGTTGGTGGAGGTTAAATTCCTTTTTCTACATCACCCCCATCAGTCAACTATTAACTACTTAGCTCTATGCTCAGCAGTAAAAACAAATCTACATTGCAATTGCTGTAATAATCGTTACGAAGCGCTACTGTCTACGACGACGACGACGACGACGACGACGACGACGACGACTACTACTACAATAACCCCAACAACAGCGAGGACGATGGGAAAAGCCCTTAATCGACGACGTACAGTGGTTTGAGCATACAAATAGCGATAACATAGTGCAATAACAACAAGCAAAGTTTAGACGAACGAAAGCACATACGACTACAGTTGGCAGAAAAGGCGTCACCGTACTTGCCACACTCAACGCGAGGCAGTCGCAGTGACAAGAACACAGCAACGCCAAAAAAAATCAGCATTTATATAGCAGCAACATTTGAAGCAGAGTTAGAGAGTCAGCAGTACCACTGTCAGTGAAAGTTAGTACCAACCACTAGCCAGCAGCAACTAAAAAAACACACACACAAGAATACAACCTTAGGCTGGTGAAGGCAAAAAAGCTCTATCATAGACCACTGATAAGAAGAACGAACGGCCAGTGGGACAAGCGCACAGTCAGTAGCATAAACAGATCACAGAAGCGCCTAGAAACTTTAAAGGTAGATCTCCAAGAATCACTTCACTGTCAGCGAGTTCACCTGCTCGAACTTAGTAAAAGGAAAAAACTTAAACAAGAAAACATAAAACAGTGGACCATTTGCTTATCAACAAACCGTAATTTCTTCTACTCTGCACCCTTTATTTCCGTTTTAGTGCGTTTGACGCCTTCACTTTGCTGATAAACGAGCATTTAATTATCAGCCTCTGTTATCAACGCGTTTGTGCTCATCTCCGGATTTCCGTTTCCGCGTTAGTAGAAAAAGGAATACATATAAGAAAAAAGTGTTGTTCATTGGAAAACCGCAATTTTTTTTTTAAAGCAACCACTTGCCTGCGAACAGTTTATCGTCGTCTATGGCATTATTGCTGTCGATGCTGTGCTTATCAAAGCAGTGACATCATTTTTACAAAATAAACAATAAAACAACATACCTAAGTATATATAAACAAACATTTTTTAATTGACAGCGAATATTTGTGTTCTTTTTTTGGTTCAAAGAATTTTACGCAAACCAACAATTATCAGCAATAAAATAAAAATGTGCAATTTTCGGAGCTGAAGATCTTTTAAAGTGAGCGATAACAGTTTTTTTTTTCGTTAAAAGAGCGACTAGCAACAATAATAAAGGAAACGCCTGAAAATAGACATTAAAGCTGCCAAAGATGTTCTCCATGTGTTCCAAAGTGAAGCCACGAAACTCAACAGTGAATACACAACAACCAACGGGTGAGTACAAGTGAAAGTGTTTTTGGTGTAGGAGACCTTGGCAGCAGTGTGATAGAGACGGTGTGGGGATGATGAGGGGGGGGGGGGTTAGCTACCATACATCCATACACATGTATGTACATGTATTTAGTAGATGAGGAGGCAACTATACAAGTGCTACATACATACATATATGCATATATACAATTACATACAGTCACTGCCAGTCAAAATGCGGTGCTCCAAAGCCTTTCATTTTAAATCACTTTTCTTATTTTTTTATAAAAATTTGGTTCATAGTACAACAAAAATCATAAAAACAAAAATCTAAACTTTGTACAAAAACAAGGTAAATTCGATAAACTTTCCATTAATTTTCATGAAAAGTTCCAACTTTTTGACCAGTGTTCTTTTGGAAATCTGTCGAGTATGCAATTTAGTAGCCCACTAAAATTTCAGTAGAATAAGATGCAAGTTTGGAGTTGCTACCGTTGATTCATACATACACACATATATATAAGCCACAGCAAGTACATACATACAGAAGAATGTCTTAAATGTGAACCAGCGTAAGAGTGAAGTTCATAAAAGTGAAATGTGGACGCGAAAATATAAAGATTGTAACTGCATTTACCCATTGTACTTAGTTGTAAAATGAAATATGCAATTTTATTAAAAAAAAAACGAAGAGGTCGTGAAGACATAAGATTTCGGGCATTCAAGATAACAATATCTTGCTAAAATCCAGTTCCTCTCTTTTCATAAAGGGTTTACTCTATTTTGAAGTATCTAAAAAAATAAACTTTGTACTACTTTTATTCCTTTAAAAAAATCAGTTCAATTTAATTGAAAAAAATACATTTAATTTAATTTAAATATCAAAAGGATCTAACAAAAACAAAATAATTTAATTATATCTACTTAATTTAATTGAAATAAATTCAGTATAACTAAATTAAAAAGAAATTTATATCAAACTAAGTTGAGTTGATTTAAATTAAATTCGTTTAACTTAACGCCAATCAACTAAACTTAATTTTATTTAACTAAACTTACTTTAACATAACTTATCGTACTTTAACGTAACTTAATTTACCATACCTTAACTTAACTTAACATAGCATAAGTAAACTTAACTTAACTTGGCTTAACTTAACTTTACTATTAACATACTGTTATTAAATAGAAAATGCAAGACCTATAAATTTCCACTGCAACCTGGACCTGGAATAATTTAAGAGAAAAAGTAGTGAAATGATTGGAGAGAGACCAAATGTAGACACCATCGCACAGTGGTTCAAAACTGGTACTTAGTGTTCACAATTCACTAGAGCCTTCATTTTTCACTCAATTTGGTATTTTTTTTTTGTGCAATTTTATAGAAAATCGATTCTCCTGTTCCATGTTCCAGTTAATAAACGTTACATAATAAATATTTGTTGAAAACAGTTTTTGGGTTCCTCCAAAGCGAAAAAATCACAAGAAAATTTTAAATGTTATACCAACATAAAAAAGTCACCAAAAAAACAAAAAATTGAGTTTTTAGACAAATTTTCGGTATGCAGTTATAGATCATTAAATTTTTTTTATAGAAAAGCGGCTAAGAGGTCGCGTAGATTTTTAATAATTTATTTTCGCTAGCATTTCGAGCTCATCTGCATGCTAAATGGGGTTTGTTATATTATTCAAAATCAACGCGAATTTGCACTTTATTATACTAGAAATTAATGGTCTATAAAACTGCTTACCGAAAAATTTTTAACCCAAACAAAAATTTAATTTTTGTGAATCTTTTTTTCATTTTTAAAATTTTTTTCCCCCGTTTTGAGGGAAACCTACAATTCCGTTCAGCTAGTTTTGGTTATGTAATATTTATTAATTGGAGCCGGAGAATCGATTTTCTTGAAAATTGCTACTTTTTCTGCACATTGCACTAAAACATTTAATACAATCAAATAAAAATTAAGTTAACAGGTCTTCTGAAAATTTTAAAAGCTTTTATTTAAACAAACGTTAATGAAATTGAGTGAAAACGAATCCAGTGAATTATGAATGCCAAATGGAAGTTTTGAATCACTGCGCATCGTGTCAATCTGTTGAAGAACCACGAAAACTGGAAAAACTGTTCAGATTTCGCAATCGCAGAGGACGTGGGAACCAATCAGCCTTTTCTTCTACAAAC